GTGTAGTCCCTATGGGAGATGACTTTTTCTCAAATCTGGATTCTACATTCCTGTCTTTTGCGAGCAATATCGCCGTTATTTCCGTTTGGTTTTTGTTGATTTTGGAGTATGTTGTAGCTGAGACTATATGCTATCTAAATGTTCCCTCATTTTTTTCAATCAGATGTCATCATGGTCTGTTGATGATCATCATCAACATCATCATGATCATCATCATCATCATCAACATCGTCATCACCATTACTATCAAGATCATCATCATCATGATCATCATGATGATCATCATTGTTTACATGTCTATATAACTTCTCCCTTTCTCAATATAGTAAGTATTATAATCTATCATAAGACTTGAAGACAGACCACCTTAATCGTCCTCGTGACGATTTAAATTCTAGTTATTCTTTAAGCCACTGGAACTGCGTAGAGTTCCGTAGTGTGGCGTACCGACTATGCAGAAATTAGGCTGCGTATTAATGGGAAAATAGTCCCTGCGTAGGTTATGCGTAGGCTGGCGTACAGGTTTGCTTAAGGTTGCTTACTGTGTGGAAAGCTTTTACTGCTTTGTCGATCTGGCGTAGGGTAGCGTACTGTTGCGTAGGCATGTAGCGTAGTGTTGCGTAAAAAGGCTGCTTTCTGCGTCAAGTTTCTACGCCGAAAGTACGCAAAAAAAATTAAACATGTTGAATTGTTTTCTTTCATCTTGCGTACCCCTTTTCGTTCCTCAGCATATAGTAACGTAGGCCAGCGTAGTTGGTACGCAACACTACGCAACTCTACGTATTGACCCCACGCCAATTAGTGACCCGCAAGTGTCACAAATAAAGTATTAAAAATATGCTCATCTGACCCTAATTAAACACCTAAACCCCCCGAGCTTTCGGGGGTTTATGGCCCCTTGAAACCCGTGGACCCCACGCCTATATTATATATACACTCAACTTGCTGCGATCTGATCTCTCCCCCCCCCCCAACTTTGAAGAACGTAACCTCCGAGCTTTTGGGGGTTTATGGCCCCTTAAAACCTGTGGACCCCACACCTATATTATATATACACGCAACTCAGGACCCGTGGAAATCCGCGGGATTCTAGAGGGGGGTGCAGGCAAAAAATTAAGTTTTTCATTTCGGGGGCTCCATTTCAAATTTTTGGGAAATTTTCGGGGGCTACTTTTTCAACTTTCGGGGGCTCTTTTTTCTGGGGCTACTTTTTCATTAATTCATAAAAAACGATAGGCCTACACTTTGTTGAGATTTGTTCAGTAGGCTAAGGTTTCAGGCTTCCTTCTTCATAATTGCCTATTTAAAAAAAAAAAAACATTTTTCTAGTTCAATAACTAAGTTTTCATGCATTGATTTGATGCAAGAACTGTAACATAATAGACCCTAGATTGTGATTATTTCTGACCATTAATTTCGATGATCATTTTTCAAAGTAAAATTTTCACAAGAAAATCAGACAGTCGTTTAAAAACGTAGACATTAGTAATACTTTTACTAATTCTAAGCTCAGGTTTCGTAAATCTATTCACGAAACTATATTAAGATCGCGGCAATAATGATGCAAACCAACAGATAACAATTTCAAAGTGTCAAATCTCTTTGACTCAAGCTATGAACTCACACACACTGCAGCGTAACTCCACCAATCTCAACACCGGCGCCGCAGGCGTCGGACGCCTACGGTGCGCGGTGTTGGAGCTTCCTGCAAGCTCATTGCAACTCACACACACTACACATCAGCACTGCACTTTGTGATGACTGAAGGCAGCTTGCGACTTAACTGTCAGTCCAATGGTTTTCTTGTGAAAACTTTCCTTTAGAAAATGATAATCAAATTTTAGTATACATTGCCGTAATAATCACAAAATAAGCTTTCATTTCATACCTCCATTCACGAAAACTATATCAAAATCGCGGCAATCATGATAGAAATAGGTCTGTAAGTTTGGACGTCGACGGGAATTAGCCCCGTGTATCTCGGGCTTTTGCAGCTAGTACAAAGCACACCCTATAGCACGATGGCTTACTCGTGGGTAATCCCGCCCTCTGCATAGAGCATTTAATACGCAACATAATGTGAGTTGCTCGTCGTCTGTCGAGTGTCTCTTTGATACAATGTTGAATATCCATGAGGTATCTCTGTCGTCACGCATATCCTGCATTATGCATGTCGCGTCTGTTTTCGCCCTGGACGTCGACACGGAGGAGGACCTCGGGCGGAGTATAGCCAATTCGCTAGAGTAGACTCTCCCGCGGACGACGGCACCGGTCACCGGTACCCCGAGGGGAGGGTTCAGGAGGAGATAGCTGCACCAACTTGGGTCGGCGATCTCATTAAAAAACAATAGAATACAAATGCTGGCGGAGACGTCGCGCCCCCCGCGGAGCCTTAGCGTATTACTATTATAGATTTTTACAAGAATTTGACTGATTGAGGGATTGTGAAAAAAGAAATTGAGAGAGGAATCGATTGAGAGAGGAGGCGTAAAGAAAGGGCGAGGCAGAGAGAGGATATGGGAGGGTTAGGGATAATGGGGTTGGGGAATTAGACAAACTAAATTAAATAAAGTTGTTAATAGACGGATGGAGAGGGAGAGAAAGAGAGAAAGAGAGAGAGAGAGAGAGAGATGAAAAGAAAGAGCACAAATAGGAAAGTGAGAGAGAGAGAGAGAGAGAGAGAGAGAAGGTGGGGGGGGGGGGGGGCGAAACAGAGAGGGAGAAGGAAAGGGGTGGAGTTGTTTATTAATAGGGAGAAATAAAATAAGAGAAGAGGGGGAATGGAGGTGGGGGATAAGGAGGGTGTGAAAAATAATGAGGATGAGGATAGATTTTAAGCCTACTACCTGAACACACACAGAACAGAGACAGGGTGTGGGCCTACATGGTGTTTAATATAGACGGGAAGGCAGAAATGGATGAGCCGAAAGAGTGTAATGTGAATCCTTGGATGATATATCGTTCTGTGTAGTTGTTGATACACCCACTGAGACAGGAGGATCATATTAACATCATCAGAGGTGTCACCTTTGACTGGGTATCAAATTCTACATCTCACCCATAGGCGCAAGCAATCTGGGGGCACCCGGGATAATGCCCCCTGTTCATATGCTGATGAAGATGAAGAAGGAGAAGAAGAAGAAGAAGAAGAAGAAGAAGAAGAAGAAGAAGAAGGAAAATAAGAAGAGGAGGAAAATCATCCACGGAGCTCTATCCATTTGTGAAACTACGAGACTTTTATTTTTCTATCATCCCCCCGTCTGTGCCCCCCCCCCCCCTTTTCAACAAGTTTGGCTACGCCCACGACCTGACTCACGTTCCAAAATCAGCTACTGATATCTAAGGCAGTTTAGGGAATCCCAAAGGCCTACATAAAAGTTGTTTAAAACCTAGTAGTATTAGTAGTAGCAGTAGTAGTAGTAGTTGTAGTAGTAACAGTACTGACATTTATTTTCCCGCTCCATTATGAATACAAAATATACATATTTACAACTGTATTTCAATGGAAACTGAATGCATTAAGAATACAAAGATAACGGGGAGGGGGCGGCTATTGGACCCAGACGTTTCCCATCCATCTCGTTTCTTAAATTTGTAATACCAAGTCCGGACTTATATGCCTCTTATCATGCAGATATCATAGTCTTACCTCAACGTGCCCCTGGCAGACCATTGGTAAATCTTTCCACTGCCAGCTCGTGAAATACAATGACTTCATCACCTCTGAATATTCTATTGAAAAGTGAGCTCATTTCTTAGAATACAATTTCAATAGCCAATATGTAATACAAGAATGTATAACGTTTGGCCTAGCTATCTCCAACATAATTTTTCATTTTCAAAACCTATGAGCCTGTCCAGAGGTTAAGGTTTAAGTTTGAGGCTTTGACCCCTTAGAAATCTAGGTCATTAACAGAATGTTTTCTATCCGTAGCTGTCAGGTTTATCCCCCGCCTACAATCGTTTTAATTTCCCACTAACTATCAACCAAACGTTGTCCAGAAGGGACGTACACAATATAACCAAACAAAATAAAAACACGACAAAGCCTTTCCTGCTGGAGCTTGTCAGACGCCCCCAGAGAATTAGTTTCCTTTTTTCTTTTGAGTCACAAGGATAATTTTTTTCTCTTCGAAACGAAGATTTATTTAAGAAGAGGACTTGAGAAAAGGTTGGTCTCGCGAGCTGTCGATATTGCGGGACGTCTGACAACCTGTCTCAAGCTGTATAGGATGTTCCTATAAACCGATCTTTCAATCTTCTTCTGTTGCAATGTTCATAGTATTCATTTCTACTTTCGACTGATCAATCGTGTTCAAAAGTTGTATCGATGCAGAAAGGAATGGATATGAATCCCAATGTTATCATCTCGAATACATAAACATGTGAGCAAGCGCATTTATATGGGCAAATGGGAATCTATTCCAAAATACCTAACTCTGACGTCTGGAGCGAATAAATAGTCTATCAAGGATATATGCTTGTCAAGTGCTTGATCACGTAAGATATCATTGACCAATATCTACGACCAAACATTTGTAAGAGGGATATGATTAAATTTAATGATTTTAAATGATTTTTGAAAGTCTTTGCAATCGAGTTATATCTTATGTTTCACTTCATTCAACTGGAAAAAGGGTCTCGTGGGTTATCCTGTTCAAGCTGACTTATTTTTGATCTGTTATTATTGTATATTGTTGTATGTTGGCAGCTTGTCGAATAAAAATCAATCAATCAAGGTATTGTTACCTATGAGGGCTCGCATGCCTCCGGGCAACAGTGAATAATTTCACTTTTTCAAACCCTAGCCCATAGGTAACCATTTCTTTCCTCTTCTCCTTGCTTTTTATTTCCTTCTCTTTCTCTATTATTTCTAAGAAAGTTGTATTTATCATGTTGACTTTGTATATAACGTGAATTTATGATTGTTATGGCCGAATGAATAATAATAATAATAATAATAATGTATAATGATCTTCTTCTTCCCCTCCTCCTGCAGACTTCCAAGATGTCCATGTGATGATGTTCGTTGGTTTTGGCTTCCTCATGACCTTCCTCAAACGTTATGGATACAGCAGTGTTGGTTTCAACTTTCTCCTGGCTGCCTTCGTCATCCAATGGGCCACGCTATTCCGTGGTTTCGTCGAGCTGGGGCATTCGGATGATGGCAAGATACACGTTAGCATTACATCGTGAGTATAAGATACCCACTCCTATTTGATTAGTAGCGATATACTTCTTAATTGCGTGCAGCGACGAGCCAACTAGGCGTTGTGGCGTGCGCCTGTAATCCAGCTAACAATGGAAGTTACAAACTGATTCAGCCGATGAGGCACAGTAGTCAGTAGCCTTGCTAAAGCATAATTTATTTAATACTTATGCACCTGAGCACCATGCATGGTAGATAAACTTAACCAACAGTTGGACTATTTAATCCGAGTAAATAATAGAAAAGTAAATAATTGCTTGAAAACAACCCCCACCATGCAGGAGACTTACGGCTTCCAGTCCCAACCGAAGATCAAGCTAACATCCCCGTTACATAAAATTTACCACTGATGGTAACTTTACCATGGCAACCTCACTCAACATCCAAATCAAATCAAGGATTCCATGGAAGTCGCCATTGATGGTAAAGTTACCACCAATCAATGTTAAGTTTAATGCAGCGGGGCCCTGGACGTGTTAATCTACTTTAGATGTAGAACCACTGCCCTATGATAATAGGTCTAACATGTAAGTAAAACATCGTCCATACTACGTCCCCCATAATATTGATGCATAATGCATATCATCACAGATATCATCCATTTACTAGCCATTTAGACTGATACACATCAATAGACCAGTTCGTAGTTAGATCCGGTACAAAAATATTAATGTCCGATTTTGAAAGCTTTAGATGTCGAGTTTTCAGAGAGCTTCTACTCGTCTGATAGACACTTACTACATGAGATTCACTTGATAGTTTTGACATCTATAAGGCTTATAAGCTATCCGGTGAGTCAAATTCATCTATTTCATTTCTTCACTCCGACAGTGTCTTTAAATGTCAGTTGAACCACAGGCAGTATTATAGAGCGGTAATAAATCAATTACGGAGAAAAACATTTCGCGTTGTCGTTTAGGGACACTGTACTGTCCCTGGTTGAACTGTCAAATCGAGGCACATCCGTTTTTATAGACAAGCCATCTCGTAGCGCTTCTAAAGGGTGCTTGGTATTTTGGTTCAACCCCTGTCACTTGAAAATTGTTTTGTCTATGTTACTCCGGTTGGGGAAGATGGGAAGGGGGCGTGCCTCCACGACAAGGTTTTTTTTTTTTTTTTTATCGAAATCGAAATCGAAATCCCCTCCCTCTTGAGCGGAAAGTCCTAGTATTTGAAACTTAGACCCAAAAATTTGCAGGTTTAAAGGAATGGTTCAACATTTTAATTTACAGGCGTGATAGGCTTTTTCTTAATACATAGTTATATTTCCGTTAAAGACGATACATAGGAATTTCTGAAATGGAAACAGTTCTGACTATAGAAATATTCATGAAAGGCTGTGAGGTGGTAAGGATCAAAAAAAGAAAAGAAACAAATTATAGATTACAAAAACAGTACTGTCATTAAAAATGTTCAGGTACATAAAGAAGTCTACCTATGCAATATTTCTACTTTTTTCCCCTCGAAAAAAATTAATGTATAGCTCTTCTTAACATGTGTAATGTGCTAACAAAAGAATAGTATACAGTCTAATAGTAAATGTAAACGTCGCTCTGGTCTGCTCATTCTGCAGCTCGTACATGTTCCACGTGTCTGCAGTACAGCGGTACCGTAACTGATGATCATTGTGGACTTTGGTTGTTGATACAAGATACGATTTACCAGGCCACATATACCAGACAGGCCCTTATATTGTTGTTTTTCTAACATTTTGCCACCTCGGTGATTAAAAATAATTTCCGGTAGAATATCCTGACAATAGGGCAAGGGTAACGTCAATAGGGACTTTTAGATTTGAGTGGACTGAAACGTGTGACGTCCATTCAAGGCAGTGCATTATTAGGACGTCGATCGTAGCATAGACCTATTGTCTTCGTGCGTATCTAAAAGTCCCTAATGACGACAAACTAATCAATGGCGTATCCAGGATGGAGGGATCGAGGATGGGGGGGGGGGGGAGGGGGTGGGGGAAGAGGGGGCGGGGAGCTACCTGATACCCTGGTAGAAGCTAGTGCCCTATTTTATACACAATCGTAGGTTATTCCTCTCCCAGTACATTTTTCTTATTTTTTAAATTCAATATTGTTATAACTTTTCACGATTCTAGGGCATTTGAGGGCATTTTGGACGTACATTCATGTCTGCTCTATGAAATCGAATATTGCTTTTAAAATGAAGGGGGGGGGGGGGGGACATATTTAGTGATTTTGTGCCCACGGGAAATTAATGTGCTGAGAAACTGAACATTATGCCAGGAATATTTGTTTTGTACTTTAATGGGGAGTCTTGAAGATTTATGGGTAAAAACTGCAATAAATCATTCAGAACAACTTAATTATATTGCTTGGGGTAAAGTCTCCTTTAATGTTAGCAGAAAATGATCAGATCGATCATGATAAGTGGTTGATTTGTACAGCTGTTGGCAGTGAAATAGTAAACACTGAAAGGTACTTTGTACACAGAAGTGTAAAGTGAATGCTTAATACAAAGGGTACATGATGTATAATCCTGAATAACGTTGGAAGTTTATGTATTGTATACAAGAACAAACAGACATTGATGTGATGGAATATGGACTCAAAGGATTTATGTGAGTTCTAGCTTTAATGATGAAACAAAGGAGACACCCGTTTAATTTTGGTTCTTTTATTGTGACGCCGTCGTGGATCATCATTAGAAAGTGAAGAGATTCAACAACTGTGTGGGATAATTCCTTAAGGATTATCTACAGAGTTCCCATCTCAACATAGAAATGCTGGAACTGCAAGCAAACTGCTAAACTGTTGGCGATTGTCCTAAGCGAACTGCTATTACGTAGATAACAACTATCGTCTTCCCCTTCTTCCCCGAACTATTTCTTCTAGTCTCGTCACAAGTCTTAAACATAACTTTCAGAACAAGAAAAGAGTCATTCCATGACATTATTATCGGGAGCTTCACGTCAAGGATATGCTCACATTGAAAAGGCTGACTCTATGGCCTGAATTCACCAAGGAGGTTAGTCGACAAACCTCCTTTGTGAATTCGGGCCACCATGTCTGTGATAATCCCTAGCAAACGCATGATTGAACCGTGTAATCTGTATGCAAACAATATTTTAATGTGTTAATAATATGTTGTATAATAGCATGTTTTAATAATATTTCCATGAAGGCATCTGTTCGTTTTATAGAGTAATAATAAATAACAATAGCTCGTTCATCATTACTAGCCAAGTTCTCAAGAATGCTGGTTCCAAACAATGTTGTGCTGAACAATGGTGTACAACACACCAGCGCCAAACACTGAATTTGCCCTGCTCCAGGCTATTGTCTGAATGATTTGGCGGTGAATCTTACTCGCAGGCTCTGTTGTTTAAAACCGTTAACCTGGACGATGAGCAAATATGACGTTAGCACTTCGGTATTCTATTATACTTCAACACGCCATTTTCATGATATTATCACATTTAATGCACAAATCTTTAAGTGACTCATTACGAATTCTTTCATTCACCTGTTACGAATAATCGTATTTTAAAGGTACTGTGTCCCATTTGCAAGCCAAAAAATGAAAAAATTAAATTTCACCCGTATTTGAACGATGATACTAATTTACTAATTTAGAACTTCCCTCAAAACGAAAGGGTTTGAAATTTCATTTTGTGGGAAACTTACGACTGTTCTTTGTCGAATCGACTTTAGTGATCTTAATCATTTTAGTTATGGTCTGATTGTCAGACGCTTGTACCGAATGGTCGTACGTTTTGTGCTGTGCAAAGATTCAGTCAGTTTAATTTTGGCCATTACAAGAAGTGGGTTATTGATGCAGACAAATGCTGATGTACCCTTTACAGGTCATTTCATGTATGTTATCACCAAAGAATAAAGAAGTCAATCAGTCACTCAATATTATTGGACAGTGAACTCTAGAAAGTAAACGGGTTTCCTGGCATAATTTGAATACTTGGACACTGCTAACGTTTAAATTTCACAGATAGGACATACGAGACATATTCATAATTCTACAAAGTTCTACAGAATTTCATTTTGGCTGCAAATGGGACATAGTACCTTTAATAGTCAGAATGCGAATTGCATACGTTACGTGTTATTAGACAGGTCAAGCCATAATGCTGGTCCTACCCAGCAACAGTTAATGTATGCAATTCGCATTCTGACTATTGAAATACAATTATTCGTAACAGGTTAATCAAGTCATTTGTAACGATCGAAGCACTTAAGAAGGTTTTGAGCATTGAATGTTATTACAAAAATGTTATAACGAAAATGGTCTACTGTCTTTTGTCAAGGCTCTTTCCTGACGTGTGATTTACATGGTTTCACCCCTAACCTGATACTCAACTGGGCATTATTCACGAAACCATCATAAATACACACATTTCCTTGTTGGTTGTCGGTGAACTTGTACTCGAAACGTTCTCGTGAAACACTGCCCTGGTTTGGAAAGTAATATGCGTACATCGTCAGGAATATTGGTTCTTTGAATTGCCAACGATGTTTTTATCAATTCGAATGGCGTCCTAATACCTTCATGACGTGTACGCCAAAATTATTAAACAATGTTCAGTAAATTGTTTTAAGAATGAATTGATGAAGATAATTTTGTCTCCTTTGCGGGTGGTGGAACATTTCCATTTATAACTCCCAAACTCTTTGATGAAAAAATAGAGAAACCCTTCTAATCATCTTATGTAACCCACGTATACAAGAAATAAAATAGAGGATGGAACGAAAGACTTCAGATTTGGTATATTGCTAGAACTGCCTTCTAGAAAGAGGAATTAAAATCCTGAACAAAAATACAAGGTATCTCCAGTCTCCCTCCACATTTTCAGCTTATTGTCAGCTTATTGTCAGCTATTGTATAGTGTTTTCACATTTTCAGCGTTAGCGTTTGGTTCGGTAATTCGGTAATCTGTAACTGCTGTGACTTTTTAGCTTCTCGACAAATCGTAGTACGAGATTAAGAGTTCATAGCCGT